GGGGGGTTTATCAAAGCAATTGCAACAGTTTTAGCCTCTTAGATAATTTTGTTTTAAATATGCAAATCTGTCTTTTAACATGTGCCCCTGTTTTGACCTGAGCTTGCACTACTTTTCCAACGGCACGTGTTTTACGCCTGTTTTCATCTGCACTTGTTCTGCGGCTGTCTGAAACTGGTGCATCACCTAACAAAACAATTGCAACTTAAGAAGTCCCCATGACCATTTCTTCAAGAAGCGACAGTTCAGCTTTTTGTCTGAAGTTACAACTCTTCTTTCCTGGAGTCTATTTAACCTCATTTATGCACAACATTACTCTAGCATCATAAATCTGGTGCAAAGTGCACCAATATATTCCGTGCAAGTTCAAACACTCACAATTGCTATGATAAATTCCCCTTATTTTATATATTTTCCTGGAAGGAAGATTAATTATTGCTAAAACACTGAATGGTAGTATATGTTATATATATGTTGGTGTACATTACTTACATAAACAGTCTTCTACAATAAAACAGTTATATTACTAGGCATACACAGAGCAAACCTGTAACCTGTTACCATTCAGAAATAATCTCTTCAAGACCAACTCCAGGCAAGCCTGTGTATGATTGATTTTGTGCCCCCAGTGAGGATGTTTCCCCTCATTTCCTGTCCAGGTGACAGAGAAAACAGGAAGTGAATGGAAATCTCCCCAATAGGGGCACATCATTTAAAACCTATTAGAGGTTCCAAACCTTGTAATTGTATCCAAAACTAGAAATGACTGGAAGATAGGGGTCACAGGCTATACATTTGCACGGCCCATTATATTGCCTTTGCTTATAAGACTGATAGATTACAATTATTCTTCTTTATTAAGGGAAAGATCAATATGCAAATTCCATAAAGCCAAAGAAACCCCTCAGAAACCATCTTTGCTATGTTTGAGTCCACTGTGGTTATTATGGGTTCCAGCACTTTGCACATCGTCACTGCCCCCATCACACATACACACCATGACGCACACACCAAGCTAATTGTTAGGATGATTTAACCTTATTTTACTTAGCAGTGAGAGGAGGTCAGGTGCTAACGAGTAGCATGAGTAACCCAAGCATTCACCGTGCTCTCTTCTGCTGTCAACAGAAGTTTGCCGGCTGCAGTCTGACATGGCAGCCTGCTCGACTTCCCATAAACCCCCTACTGCCTTTTGCTTAATTTGTAGCCTTCATTCACACTGTCTTCAATCAGCAGCGTTCGTGTTTCAGTAAGAGAGGGGTAGTGAACTATAACTCAAAAACCTTCTCACATTGCGGGCGGCCAAATTAAATTATACATCTCCATAAGTCTGGTTATATATAGACCGGACAAGAATGCCGGCCTTGGCTATCACTGCTGGATAAAATCAGGCCAATGCCTTGTTGAGCATATCATTACACTCTGACCTAGAGCCTTCACAATGTGAAGAGAACATCATCACTCAGACCACCAGTGAAAGATTTATATGGTTATAAAGTGAAGAACTCCAGTTCAACTGAAATGCAGAACATGGTTTCAAAATTAGAAGCTCTCCAAAATACACGACTTCACTAGATACAACCAATTATCACTTGCATTATAACAGGAGTGCAGCTAATACGAAGGGAAGTGCAATCCTGACAAATCAAGTGTGTGTATTTGTCCTTTTCACTTCACCACGACAACTGGCAGCACTGCTTCTACAGAGCACAACCAAGGAAGCTCCTGTTGCATTAAAGGCATGAAAATTTTTTTTTTTTTTAATGAAGGCGGGGGGGGGGGGGGGGGTTTATCAAAGCAATTGCAACAGTTTTAGCCTCTTAGATAATTTTGTTTTAAATATGCAAATCTGTCTTTTAACATGTGCCCCTGTTTTGACCTGAGCTTGCACTACTTTTCCAACGGCACGTGTTTTACGCCTGTTTTCATCTGCACTTGTTCTGCGGCTGTCTGAAACTGGTGCATCACCTAACAAAACAATTGCAACTTAAGAAGTCCCCATGACCATTTCTTCAAGAAGCGACAGTTCAGCTTTTTGTCTGAAGTTACAACTCTTCTTTCCTGGAGTCTATTTAACCTCATTTATGCACAACATTACTCTAGCATCATAAATCTGGTGCAAAGTGCACCAATATATTCCGTGCAAGTTCAAACACTCACAATTGCTATGATAAATTCCCCTTATTTTATATATTTTCCTGGAAGGAAGATTAATTATTGCTAAAACACTGAATGGTAGTATATGTTATATATATGTTGGTGTACATTACTTACATAAACAGTCTTCTACAATAAAACAGTTATATTAGTAGGCATACACAGAGCAAACCTGTAACCTGTTACCATTCAGAAATAATCTCTTCAAGACCAACTCCAGGCAAGCCTGTGTATGATTGATTTTGTGCCCCCAGTGAGGATGTTTCCCCTCATTTCCTGTCCAGGTGACAGAGAAAACAGGAAGTGAATGGAAATCTCCCCAATAGGGGCACATCATTTAAAACCTATTAGAGGTTCCAAACCTTGTAATTGTATCCAAAACTAGAAATGACTGGAAGATAGGGGTCACAGGCTATACATTTGCACGGCCCATTATATTGCCTTTGCTTATAAGACTGATAGATTACAATTATTCTTCTTTATTAAGGGAAAGATCAATATGCAAATTCCATAAAGCCAAAGAAACCCCTCAGAAACCATCTTTGCTATGTTTGAGTCCACTGTGGTTATTATGGGTTCCAGCACTTTGCACATCGTCACTGCCCCCATCACACATACACACCATGACGCACACACCAAGCTAATTGTTAGGATGATTTAACCTTATTTTACTTAGCAGTGAGAGGAGGTCAGGTGCTAACGAGTAGCATGAGTAACCCAAGCATTCACCGTGCTCTCTTCTGCTGTCAACAGAAGTTTGCCGGCTGCAGTCTGACATGGCAGCCTGCTCGACTTCCCATAAACCCCCTACTGCCTTTTGCTTAATTTGTAGCCTTCATTCACACTGTCTTCAATCAGCAGCGTTCGTGTTTCAGTAAGAGAGGGGTAGTGAACTATAACTCAAAAACCTTCTCACATTGCGGGCGGCCAAATTAAATTATACATCTCCATAAGTCTGGTTATATATAGACCGGACAAGAATGCCGGCCTTGGCTATCACTGCTGGATAAAATCAGGCCAATGCCTTGTTGAGCATATCATTACACTCTGACCTAGAGCCTTCACAATGTGAAGAGAACATCATCACTCAGACCACCAGTGAAAGATTTATATGGTTATAAAGTGAAGAACTCCAGTTCAACTGAAATGCA